CTTCTTTGTTCGACTTGGACTTGAAGAAGAAGAACACTGTCGAACCAATTAATTTTTTTAATTAATTCAATTTTTCCTGGTTAATTTTCTTATCTGTTCGAAACAATTTTTTTTTAAAATTAATTTTTAATTCGCAAAAAATTATTTTTAAAGTTAATTCAATTATTTTAAAATTAATTTTTTTTCAATTAATTCAATTATTTTTTTTCTTCTGTGTTAAAATTTCAATTAATTTAATTAATTTCCTGGTTATTCAATTAATTATTTTAATTCAATTAATTTGTTTAATTCAATTAATTCAATTAATTTGTTTATTTTAATTCAATTAATTTCCTGTTTATTCAATTAATTATTTTAATTCAATTAATTTGTTTATTTTAATTCAATTAATTTGTTTATTTTAATTCAATTAATTTCCTGGTTATTTTAATTTCCTGATTATTCAATTAATTATTTTAATTCAATTAATTTGTTTAATTCAATTAATTTGTTTATTTTAATTCAATTAATTTCCTGGTTATTTTAATTTCCTGGTTATTCAATTAATTATTTTAATTCAATTAATTTCAACTATTTTAATTTTTTTATGTTCTTTAATGTTGTTAAAATATGTTCTTTAATTTCTTTATGCTGAAACATTGAATTGCTTGTTGGATAGAATTAATGTCGAAGTCGAGTGAATGTAAAAAAGATCTGGCATGGTAATATGCACGGATTGTAAATTCCCAAAACCTTTCAAAGTTCATTTGTAACTTTTGCGACAAAGAAATGAATGGCGGTGTTTACCGAGTCAAGCAACATCTTGCTAGTGGTTATAAAAATGTTGTTGCTTGTAAAAAATGTCCATCTCATGTCAAAGATGAGATTAAAGACTATGTCTCTCAAAAAAGTCAATCAAAGGTGCAATTGAGGATGGTTCCTGATTTTGATGAGATGGATAATGATGACGATGATGATGATGAAATTCTTGAGATAAATCAACATGGTAACAGGCCTGTTTCTACTCAAGGTTCTACTCGTCGAGAACAAGGAAGCAATTCCTCCAAATCTGTTGGTTCCAAACAACCAAAGCAAAAGGGACCCATGGATGTGTACTTCACCCCTGATCCGGAAGTTGCGGTGCAAAATCGTAAAGTCAAGGGAAAGCAAACAAGAATTGATGATAATGATCCTAGAAAGAAGGTGTTGAGAGATCGGGCTCTTGTTTGGTTTTCGAGGTGGATGTATGATACGGTTATACCTTTCAATGTTGTGAACTACAATAGTTTTGGGCCAATGGTTGAAACTTTTGGGCAATATGGTCCTGACATGAAACCACCAAGCTACCATGAGGTGCGGGTTCCTTATTTGCAGAAAGAGGTAGACCACACTAATAAGACCATGGAGGATCATAAAAAAGATTGGGTAACATATGGATGCTCTTTAATGGTTGATGGGTGGAAAGACAAAAGAAACATAGCATTAATTAATTTTTTGGTTAATTGCCCAAGAGGATCAATGTTTATTGAATCCGTTGATGCTTCTAGCTTATTCAAGGATGCAAATAAGATGTTTGAATTGCTTTACAACTTTGTGGAGCGTATTGGTGAAGCCAACGTGGTTCAAGTTGTTACAGATAGTGCCTCAGCAAATGTGTTGGCCGGTTAGTAACTTAGTAGTATACATTTACTTAGTACTTACTTACAATATGAATATGCAATTCTCATATTATTCTTTTTTTTTAAAAAAAAACTTGTAATAGGGAAGTTTTTGGAGGCAAAGCGGCCACATTTGTATTGGACACCATGTGCAGCTCATTGCTTGGACTTGATGTTGGAGGACATTTTCAAAATTCCCAACTTCAACAAGACATTTGAAAAGGCAATTGCGGTGCATGGTTATATTGTGAACTGCTCTGGTTTGTTGAATATGATGAGGCAATTTACCCAGTGCAAGGATTTGATCAAGCCATCAAAAACTCGATTTGCAACTGCTTTTCTAACTTTATCAAGGATTCATCAACAACAAACCAACTTGAAGAAGATGTTCACTTCAGAGGAATGGACCACAAGCAAATGGGCGAAGGAACCACAGGGTAAAAAGACCGCATAAGTCATATTAATGCCTTTTTTTTGGAACAATGTTCTTTATGTTCTCAAAATATCAAGTCCTCTTGTTCGTGTACTGCGGTTGGTTGATGGTGAGAGAAAGCCTCCCATGGGATATATTTATGAGGCAATGGATAGGGCTAAGAAGCCATTGCAAAATCATTTAATGGAAATGAAGAGAAGTAACGGAATGTTCAATTGCATAGGCCTTTGCATGCAGCTGGGTATTATTTAAACCCAGAATATTTTTATGCAAATCCGAATATTGAGAAAGATAAGGAAGTCATGTCAGGCCTGTATAAATGCATATAAAGGTTGGTCCCAAGCAATGAGACACAAGATAAAGTTTGCGCAGAGTTGACTACCTATAAGAAAGCTGATGGTCTCTTTGGGATGGCTTTGGCCATTAGACAAAGAACTACAAGGGCACCAGGTGATCTATATTTCATACTTAAGTAATTTTAGTTAGTTTTTTATATTTTAAATATTCTTTCTAATTAGTTAGTTATAATCAACAGCTGATTGGTGGAGTGCATATGGTTCTGAAACACCAAATTTGCAAACATTCGTCATCAAAATTCTTAGTCTAACTTGTAGCTCATCTAGATGTGAGCGAAATTGGAGTGTGTTTGAACATGTGTGTACCCATTTTTAACTATAGTGAATATGAATACCTATAAATTTATTAATACCTAGATAAAAATTTGAATATTTTTATTTGGTTTGAATTTTTGCAGATTCACACCAAAAAGAGAAATAGGTTAGCTCAAAAATGTCTGAATGATTTGGTATTTGTTAAGTATAATAGAGCATTGAGACGTCGATACAATCTCCGTGACACTATTGATCCCATTGCTTTGATGGATATTGATGAAAGTAACGAGTGGTTGGTTGGGAGGATGGAGGAGGAACTTGTCTTTGAGGATGATACTTTGACATGGGATGATGTTGCTAGAGCTGCTGGAGTTGAGGAAAGTAGTCAAAGAACTAGATCAATAAGGGCAATAGAAAGGGGGTGTTCAACTTCAAAATCAGCAGCTAGACCTAGATTGCAACTTATTGATGAGGAAGAGTCAATTTCAGATGGGGGAGAGGAAGAAGATGCAGAGGGATATGCTGAAGCCAATGATAATGAAGAAGAAGTTCATTTGCTTGATGTTGAAGATGAATTTTAGAACTTTTGGATTGGTGGATTGTATTTGTCTTTGTTGGATATTTTCTTTCGTTTATGGTTATTTAGTAGTTGGAATGATAATTGCATGATAGTTCTTGAAAATATTTATATTTTTGTCTATACCATTTATTTTTAAAAAATATCATTTTTGGTCGCCTCGCTTCGATGAAGCCCTCGCCTCGCCTCGCCTCGTCGCCTCGCGCTTAGGCGTTAGGTGACCTTGTTGCCTCGGTTCGCTTTTCTCCTTAAAAAACACTGCATGACACCATCTATGACTCCAAAATCTAGCATGTTCCCCCACTTCTCACTACAAATTGAATATTACTGGAAAAAGAGTTCCATGGTCCTACCATCAAGCATTTGAAATATTTATATGGATCAAACAACCACATTCTAGGTTTTCACATTAGACTATATAAATGGAATGTTTCAAGCACAATAAATAAATCCCAACTAGAACTACCTGCCATATTCTGAATTTCTTAGGTTAAAAAAAGAAAGATAAGACTTGGACCCTTCACATCCTCCTTTGTTGCTGCTAGATTTACACTGTCATACACCTCAAGCTGACAGTTGGTGATCAGCTCCCTTCCTTGAGTTGGGATGGAGGGCTCTCTTTCTTGCTAATGTAGTTTTCTTTTGATCGTGTACTTTTTCTACCTGTGCTGCTGAGGGACCCCTCATCCTTCATTTAAACATTTCTTTTATCCAAATGAATACATTTATCTCAGGCATACATACAAATGCACCCAGCATTATTCATACAGGCTTCCTTTGATTCTCCTGATTACACTCATACAGCAGGGCCTACATACAATGAGTCGATGACCATGAAACCTAGTTTTTGTTGTAAATCAATCCTTCATTTGAACAAATTGACTCTAATGACCATCTTTTCCTCTCCCCCAAAACAATGAAGGCATATTGATTATTGTTTTTGAATCTTAAAATATTTATATTTGGATGAGCAATTTTTTTAATAAAAAATAATTCCGTGTCAGAATTTAGAAAATCCTTCACCATTAAAGGATAGGTGCTATGATTTACATGAAAATAAAAAATCTGAAGGTTGAGAATTTTCACACATCTTTACCACATGATTAATGAATCTACTTTCACAGACATAATTTAGAGGAAACACAAACAGAAGAAGACAAAGATGAAAGCTGATATCAATTACAATAAGGAAAAAGTGACACATGGAACTATGGAAGCAGTGACCATCCAAAACAAGATGGGGCAGGACGTCATCACGTCAATCTATTCATGGAGGGAAAATGGATAAAGAGTGTCAAAAGAGTTTTTTTTTTGATAAATAAAGATTTATTAAGAAAGCATCAAGGAGATGCCAAAAGAATACAAAACCAACCCTTCAAGCCGGGACCTAACCAACTAAATCATCAACAAAATCTAAAACAACAAATAAATTGGGATCTACTCTTCCCGACACCTAACTATACAAAACACCGCAAAACTGAGACTCTAATTGAACAATTGACTAAGCACACCCTTGGAAAACCCGACGATTCCGCTCCAACCAAAGCAACCACATCAAACACAAAGGAGCTAACGCCCATGCTCTCCGCCGTCGTTTCCCAATTCGACCACCCCCCCAACAACGAAGCACATCCATAACCTGCTTTGGTTGAGCCCACACCACTCCAAACGCAGAAAAAACAAGCACCCACAAGTGAGAAGCAACCGGACAGTGAATAAGCAAATGATCCACTATCTCCACATCTGCACAACACAAACAACACGAATTCACTAAAATATGATGCCGATGGATTTGATTATCAATAGTCAAAATTCTACCAAATGCTCTTGTCCACACAAAGAAAGCCACCTTCGACGGAACACCAGAAACCCACACATGACGCGAAGGGAAAGACCTGCTATCCACTCCCAATGCTGTCGTGTGGTATGGGTTCAAGTCAAGGGAACCAACCTCTCCTCAAATAAGTGGGGGGAAAGGTACCTACTTACTGCCTCTCCCAGACCCTGCTGTAAGTGGGAGCCTTGTGCAGTGGGTATAACATCTTTTTTCAAACTTAGTTTTCCAATGTTCTTGTGGTTGAATAGAAAATTTACCCGTATTTCAATGGTTTCATTCCCTGCATTTTGTAAACCCAGTATTCCTTTCCAAAACTCGCATGTTGCTATGATGTGCTTCCTATAATTTGTATAAGATTATAACTTCAAAGGTTGGATCATGTTTTTGCAGACACACATCAGAACCTCCTATGTTACAGATTGCATTTCAGTATACGGTTGTTGTGCCTCCTGAGGAACTTTCAAATTCTGAACCCAGTTCTACAAGTAGGTAGGGTTAGTTCTTTACTTTGCAGTCCATAGCTTGGTTTCTTTTCTGATCATATTTTTTTTTTTAAGCATATGGACTTGCCATCTAAAAGTATTTTTGATTGTCAATTTTTCGTATTTTAAAAGCAGTTGGATCATTTTGTGAGAGTGGTAGTCAAGGTTGCATCTGTTAAGCTTTGTAGAGTTTGTTCAATTGTGATTCCCGTATTACGTTGCCATTCAATAACAAGTTTCTTTCTCCAAGCATAATGCAGTGAAAAAATGGTTTTTTTCACCGAGCACAATGCAATTAGCAAGTTTCTTTCTGATGATGTGCTTTTTTTGTTCAGAAGCATTATATGTTTTTTCTTCAGGAAAATTACACCTGCTTGTACCAATTTGCTGTAGAAAATTGTCAGTAATTGACTGTTGTTTCTGAATATATGTCTTTTGCACTACATCATGCAATTTTTTTTCTTTCATTGTTCTTCAAATTCTCAGGTAGAAAATTACTACTACGCCATCTCCTTTTTCCATTCTCTTTTTTCTTTTTGGTGGAATGCCTTTATCAAATTTGGTGTCCCCACAATATGCTACTACACCAGGATTTAAGGTACATGCCGATGTGATATGTATTTATGCAGAAACAAGTATTCCCTCAAAAGGAGAATAAGGATTCGAACTCTGCAATTTGGAACTGCTCGTAATATTAATGAACTTTATGATAGTGTTGATCCTGAAGCGATATTATCAATACTCGTTCACAAGGTTAGATTTCTTTTACTAATATTCGTGGTTACATTCTGCACCATGAAGTATGGAGGAAGGAAGCGTAATGATGTACCTGCACAATTTTGCAATTTTAATACTTGTATTTTGGTGTGAAGTGATGCTATAGTATTAGAATTCTTCATAATAATGATGCATTTCTATTACATTGACCTTATGGTGCTTCTGCTCTTTAAGAAAGTTTTGCATTCGGACAAAAGAGCATACTTCCCCTTAGGGATGGGAATCGTGCCTTCTTGTGTCGTTTTCGGATAGCGTCATCACGATTTCATATCCAAAACATCCTAACACTAGCACAACCCATTTAACTAAACGTGTCAATTATCTTGACACTGACTTGACCTACTTATAATCGTGTCAACCCGAACACAACATGTCTAACACAATTAACATAAGAATTTGTTGTAGATTATAAGCATATTGTACAACCTATTTCAAGTAAACATATTTCATATCACATATACAAGGTTAACCTATTTGAACTTTTACACCTACAAAGATAATTTCAATATTCATTAAAATAATAAAAAGATTTATGTCTAATACAAACACATCTAATTTGAGCTATTGTCACCTATTAATATCCAAACATCCAACAAGTTAAAAAACTAATCCAATGGCTTAATCTCTCATAGTTAGCATGCCATATTAGGGATGGTGGATTGCACTTAAACAACATTTTATACAAAGATCTAATTCGAGCTATTGTCACCTATTAATATCCAACATTTTATACATACACATCTAATTTGAGCTATTGTCACCTATTAATATCCAAACATCCAAGAAGACTTAAAAAACTAGTCCAATGGCTTAATCTCTCATAGTTAGCATGCCATATTAGGGATGGCGGATTGCACAACATTTTATACAAGATCTAAATCTAACCCAAAGCATTTAAAATCCTATGGCTACATGATTTAGGTTGTATTTGGTTTACCTACAACAGCGTGTTTGTGTCCACATATCAACATGGATTTTTACAAAGCCCATATATGTCGTGTTTGTGTTGCATTTGTTCAACTCATACATGATCCATTTAATATTTGTGTTGTCGGGTCGTATCATAATCGTTTTTGTGTCAAAAAATGACCAACACTAACACTATAATTACTTAAAAAATAGGGAAAATTAGTAAAAATAGTGGAAATGATTAATAATTAGAAAATGAGCCACTATTGTGTTTTCTATAAACTTCATGCCCTATCACATGTGGCATTCCACTAGTTTTATATACCAAGCACGCACACTCTCCCTCTCTCTCTCACTTGTTTCAGGGACTTCTTTAGCTATACAAATTTTTGGTGGTCGTTGGAGTAGAATGCGGCTATATAGGCTGCAATCTGCATGGCTTCGGAATTGCCTAATTATAACTTTGTCAAGAGGCATTGTTATAATGAGTGTGTCAGCTGATTCCCCTGTAGGACATTTCTCTGAGAGGTAGAAGAGAACATCATATGTTAACATGTAAGAGTTTTTGGGCTTTATCATTTGAGTTATATACAGGAAATTACTGGTGAGAAACAGATTTAAAAGAAGCAAAATTGAGAAGCTTTTTCTGATAATTGAAGACTGAAAAACATCAACCAATCTCAACTTCTCAAGTGACAAGTGTAAACTGTAAAAAACACTATGCAAACAGGTTCTTTGCATATAGCCTTATCTGATTCCTCAATCAGTTCATGGAAGGCTATCTTTTTGCAGTGGATTAGCTGAGGTTTTAGTTAACTGATTACAAGTTTATTATGTTATTTGTTCCATGGTTTGAGTGAACTTTCTCTAACAAAATGAGAGGTTTATTTTTTGGAAAGCATAAATGTTTATTAGAAAATTTGTGTAGAATATTAAGTTCGTTGTTTAACAATTGATTATCTGATTTCTCAATTCTATGGAAGGTGGTCTTTTTACAATGGGTTAACTGAGTTTTTGGTTGAGTGATTACAGGTCTTATTATTTCATTTGTTCCTCGGTTTGAGTGAATTTTCTCTGACAAAATTATAAGAGAGTGGTTTAGTTTTTTGGAAAGCATGAATGTTTATCAGGAACAAATGCTTAGAATCTTAGCTTGTGATGCTTCTATACATTCTAATAACTTGTTGCTTCACCATAACATTCACTCTCCAGGTCATATCAGCATCGTTGGAGAAAGGAGTTCGGGAAGGCAGGATGTTGCTACATGATTGGCTTGTAATCCTCACAGCTCAGTATAATGATGCTTGTAAAGTTGTTCAGTATGAGCATGGAAATTCAACAACTTCTCACATTGATGTCGCATTCTCGCAATGCCCACAACTGCAGCCTTTACCTCGCTTAGTTTTTGCTTTGCTTCGTAATCCTCTTCTCCGCTTCCATGAGGAAGGAGTTCACCCTGACTACCGGATATACTTGCAATGCCTTTTCAGGTAAATGATGTTTGCATGGTTATTAGCCTGGAATAGTGTTGCGACATTAAAAACATACAAGTTGTGACCAGTTTTAACTAATAGCATATTAAATAAGTATTTTGATTAATTGAGTGGCAATTTGGTGTCAAATATGGATATCATGGATAAGTTAAGCAAATCAACTCAAATTGCTTCATAATATATTTGTAAAACAAAATACCTTGAAGAAGTTTTGTAGTTATTTGAGATGAGAACTAGGATTTGTTTAAGTGAACATATTAACATAAATCATTACCGGTTGTCTACACAAAATATAGGACGATACTTACTACATGATCATACAAGCCGGTGCTTACTACATGTGTAGTTGGACATTCACCTAGCAAGTATATCTAGTAATTTGAATTAACTATAAAATTGTGCGTAAAATCATCATATTATGCTTCAAATGCTCTATGACTCCTTGTGTATATCATTTTATCTTAGAAACAAAAGAAATATTTATTAAAAAATATGAATATTTTTTCATGTCCTCGTGTCCTTGGACACAGGATAAGATGAATCGAACACTTTGACACGTACTGGTGCTCAAGTCCATGTTACATAGATGTCATTTATTTTATGTTAGTGGGAATTTTACAATCTCATTGTTTTCCTGATCTTCTATAAATGTAACTGTTGGAATGCTTTTTTATTTATTTATCATTTATTTATTATTTATTATTTTTATTTTTTTCTTCACGTTTCATCCCTCTCTAGAGGATGTGTTTATGCCTTTGTTTATGAGAGTTGGATAATTCAACAAATTTTTGTTCTCAAACTTGTGATGCAGTGCACTAGAACCAAGTTATCTTCACCGTGCTATATACCCACTGCTGACATCATATGCAACTCCGGATAAGCAAGCATTTCCTCGCCATTCTTTGAGCCGTGCTGCATTGATAACAAGTGGCAGTCCAATATTTTTCCTCGATGCATTTACAACTCTCATTGTGTTTTATTCTTCTACAGCCGATCCTTCACTTCCTTTCCCTCCCCCCCATGACTGTAAGTTGTTGTCAGTAACCAAAGATGCTTTCCACTGATTTTGCTTTTCATGCTAAGACAAATATTTTTTTCTTTAGGTTTATTGAGGACTACAATTAACAAACTGAAGCAAGAGAGAAGTATAACTCCCAGGCTTGTATTCATCCGGGGAGGACAGAATGATGCCACGGCATTTGAGAATTATCTCATTGAGGAACAGGATGTAGATGGAAATGGCTTCACAAGTGTCATGGGTTTTGTTTCTTTCCTCGAGGAGATCAATCACAGCGTGTTGGAGTACATGAAATAAGAGACTTGTACCTAGATTTTTAATCGGAAATCAAAATTATAGAAGAGGGTTAACTTGCACATTTTACCCGGGGGTGTTAAATTGGGCAAGTAGCGAGCAAAATCTTTATGATGAACTTACTTTTGATCGTGTCTAGTGAATGAAGACTGAACTTTTTAAAGTCGAGGAATTGAGTGGGTGACTGTTGTTTATGCCTATACTAGTGCCAGTTGGAAGCTCCCCTTTCGGTACAACCCATATAGAGATTACTCTCAGCCAAACATTGCCCTTTTTTTAATGAAAGAAATTGCAGATATTAGACTATTGTCCTATCTTGTTTTGTTTTGTTGTTTTTTAGTTTTTGGGTTGGAGATTGTTATATCTTGTTAGTGTGTAATAGATACAGGTGAATCGGAATTTACTAGGAGTCCAACTATTTGTATTTTTTGTTGATACCATTGTTTGGGATTAACTGAAAATAGTTACCTGATTTGTTACCTTTTATGTTTGTCAAAGAAAGTATTTTTCTTTGTGAGGCTCAAATTAATTAATGGCTTATATGCCATGTTGTTGACTTCCCATTCAACTGCATTCTTGGAGCATGCTATATTCCTGTTTCTCTGTAATTTTCAGTTAATATCTCTCTCTCTCTCTCTCTCTCTCATCTAACAAGCTATTTGCATAATATAGTATTTTTATTTGCAAATATTCAAATCAAGATAAGTTGTTTATTCTTTAATGTAGTCTTCACATTTTCTGAGAAACATTGTTATAATGTACAAGATAAGAAAACAAATAGAAACTATGTTGTGGAATATTTTGTATTTGACAGGTATGTGAAAATATACACCCAAAAAGCTAGGTTAAATGTGTTGCAAAATAAAGAGAGTGGCTAAGATAGAAGAAACCAAAACAGACCGACCAATGGAGTTGGTGGTGGCGCCACTGGTTCTACCACCATGGCGGTGGTTGTTATTGATGTGGTGTGCACCTGCACCAGCTGCATACAAGGGGATTACGGCTGCATATCCCCGACCAATACCGTTGCCCCTATTGTTGTTTGACCCTCCATGTCCTCTACCACCGCCACCACTTCCATGACTGCCACCACCACTAGCAGCATGGCCGCCACCACCTCCATGACCACCACCGCCGCCACGCCTATCAACTGTTGTCACTCTTCCAATGCTTCCTACCTTGATCGGTACTTTGTCTAGTGCTGCTTTGTTTCCATTTTCTAGCTGATTGAAGGCTACAAGAATCGAACCATGACAAAATTAACTATTTTTTTAAGCACTAGTACAAATAGAGTAATGACATACAAATAAAAAATTAATACAAAATTTTCATACAGAATCATGGGTCCAGCATGTCTCAAGTTGAAATCAAGACTGGATCTGTCCAATTGGGCCCATGGGGCTCATTTTTGGGCCCGTTTTGATAATCCGAACCGTTTAATATGTAGAACTCGTCGAGTAATATATGCCTGTAAAAAATTACGTTGATCGGATATCAATAGCTATGTGATCAAATCAGTTTTGTATAAAAAAAATGGACAGTGAAAAAATTAACGATTGATAAAAAACTGTTTTGTTCACATAGCTATCGATATCCGATCAACGTAATTTTTTACAGGCATATAGTACTCGACGAGTTCTACACATTAAACGATTCGGATTATCAAAACGGGACCCGTGATGACCTCCCATAGGCCCAACAGCACGGTCTAGTCCGATCTTGGACTGGACCAAACCCACTGCCCTCATTATAAACCTTTCATTTAAAAACCAAACACCCATGAAGTAAGGTTATCCACATCATGATGGTTGTGGTTGTGAGGGTGAGATGAGGAATGGCTGGAGAGTGGTGGTTGAGGTGAGTGTCATGAATATGTTTGGACTTGTGAAGAACGGAAAAAAAATTAAATTTTTGAAGTAACTGCAATTAGAAAGCAGGTGTAATGAACTCTTTTGTAGTGTAAATAGATGCCTCCTTATTTATATTACATTTTAGTCTAAAATCACGTCAGCACATTTGATAATTTCCTAAAGACTGGTAAAGTGCTAAAAAACAAGAAAAAGAAAATGGTGCTCAGGGAAACATTAAACATGGTGGCCACCCAGAAGGGACATGCTTTGTTTGAGTAGATGGCTCTCTCTATTACTATACTGGAATGGAATGAAAAGAGAGATATACAAGAATTCAATACAGCCAATCTTGCTAATCACATAATAATCATAGCAAGCAATAGATAGAGCTCAATACTTCATTGTTTGAGAAAACAGAAATTATAAATAAACATCAAAATAAATAAAAAAAATGTACCTGAAACTAGGAGATTTTGTGAAGGAGATGAAGATACATGAAGATGAAGGAAGATCATGATAAAGAAGATCCTTATTAATCCCATCTTTGGTTTGTTCTCTTTCCAATTCCTTAGCACACTTGTTCCATTTCAAAGATATGGCCTTCCTTATTTATTTTGTTTGGTCCTACCTTATCTTCTCATTGAAGGAAAGGATTGATTCTCTCTCTCTGTCTGTTGTGGGAAATCCTTAAAACCTTCTTGGATGTTTCCAGGAAATCCTTTGGCTCTTATCTTGTAGAATACTACTTTACATGACATTTGCCAATATGTTGGTGGTTCGTACGAGTACAACTTAGGTGGGCTCAGCTTGAGCAACCCAAGTTCAACTTGAATATTTTTAAGGGTTGGACTAGATATTTTTAAATTCAGTATAGGCTTGAGCGAAAATTTAGAAACCCAAATTAAATTTGGGCGGGCTTGTGCAAAGATATCAAATAATCTGAGTAACTCGAACCCGAATTATACATATATAAATATATAAAAGTATTAAATATACACAAAATATTAGCCATTACATGATATTAATGTAATTTAGATTATTAAAACATACTGAATATATATTATATATACAAGTAATACAAAATTTTATATTTTTTATTCCTACTCATCAATTGTAAGGACTACTATAACGGCATTTCTCTTATATTATATAAATTATTTATTTTGATGTTATTAATGATTTTATAAAAAAAAATGTAAATAAGTCTAATTTTAATAAAAAAATAATTTTGTTAAAAAAAAAAACTAAAATTCATTTACAATTCGGGTAGCTCGGGCCATTTGGGTTTAATTTGGGTCAGGTTTGAGTAGATAATCTTGGGTTACAATTTAGGATTAGACAAGTTTAAACAGATCTCAACACAACTTGAACTGCACTTGAATAACCTCCTAACCTGATCCAACCTGTCTTCGTTATGATCATTATACTAATTTTAACCACTACTCATAAGATAACAACGCGTTGTAATAAAAAGGTTTACGTCATCTGCACCCTTGAGAAATATGTACCATATACATTTTTGAAAAAAAGTGATATTATACATAGATAGGACTAAAGTGTGACATAAGTTTTAGTAATGAAATGTCGTGATGCTAAAAAAAAGATATGTGGGCACTTAATTATGAGCCTTTAGCCCTGTTTAGTAGAACTGTGGGAAAATACTTATAACTTATACCTTAACAGCTTATGACTTATAAATTAAGCTTCTCCTAACTCACTCAAAGAATAAGTTAATTTCTGACTTACAAAAAGCTATAAGCTGTATTGTTAAGTTAAACCAAACACATCAAAACAGCTTAAATTAAGCTGAAAGCTGAAATAAGCTGAAATTAACCAAACAGGGCCTAAATTGATTGTAGGAGTGTATTGTTTTAAATGCATTTCTATCTGTTTGATTTTTGAATGAATCTATTCATATTTTAATTTTGAATTGCAAATTGAAGGTTTTATCAGCGGCCGAATCAGAAACTGATTGGTGTTATGTGTTAATTAGAATTTATGTGATTTTATGGTAGATTTAATTGAAATTTGATTTTGCTAGTTAGAATTTATGTGATTTTATGGTATATTTAATTGAAATGTGATTTGGTATGATTAAATTAGGTTAAATAATGATAAATTGCAATAGTTGGACTTATTTACCTTAGTACCATGATAGTGGGCCACTTATCAATTCATGTTTGAAGCCTATTACGTATTTGATGCATCAATTGTTCTCTATTTTCTGAGCCTAAACCGACTAGAGAGAGAGAGAGATAGGAGAAAACTTGAGATCATCAAAATTGGCTTGGAAAATTAGAAGGAATTGAAGGGAATTTGCATATCCGAGCTTCCACCCTTGGAATTCTAGGCATAAGATAGAGAATTCATCCTTTTATTTATGAAATTAAGTTGCATCTTGCATGGTTCATGGAAATATTGGAGATTAGAGTTAAGTTTTAGCTCAAAGTGTTGAATTATGAGGTATTGTGTGCATGCATGTCCATATCATCGTGTTTTGAAGTCATTTTCATGAAATTTCCAGATGCATGTTTCTATTTTGGTTTTGATCCATGAATTGATCATATTCTTGAGCTCAATCTTGCATTTTATCATGCCTTAGAGCATTAGAGTTCATGGGAACTCATGCATGTATGATTTTGAATTGTTCTTCATATTTACATTTGTTTTGGTGTTCAATTGGCTTACTTTTGGGCTTGATTTCATAAATTGATCTTTGAAACACATTGTACTACGAGTCTTCAAATGTTTTCTAGAAAATTAGCCCAAAAGAATCGAGTTTGTAGCTTTAGAAGTTGAGTTTTGAGTTTGGAGATCAATTTGGAAATTCTAGATTTTGGATCCACGCTCGAGCGGAGGACTTCACGCTCGAGCGTACACTCTGAGTACATGCACTTCCGCTCGAGCGTGAAATGCATATGCCCAGAAGTTCATATGTTTTGTAGTCCGCTCGAGCGAGAGAATTCACGCTCGAGCGAGGATCTGAGTCTCACGCTCGAGCGGAGGTCGAGCATCCGTCGAGCGTGAAAATCGTGCATCTAGTACTTTTTCATGAGTTTACAGCCCGTTCGAGCGAGGGAAGTCACGCTCGAGCGGAGCTCCTTTGTCTGCATGTCCGCACAAGCGTAGAAAGCCACGCTCGAATGAGACCCCTGTTTCAGCAAAAAATTGAAAAGTGTTTTAAAGTGTGTTTTGGCATCCTCATTCCATCTTAGGCATTCCTAGGCCAAGTTTAAGGCATCTTAATGAGGATAATGTCATAGAACCACACCATGTATAATTAGGGGCTAAGTTATTAATCCCGATTGTGTGTTCGTTTTGCAACTGTAGGGTTGGCATCCGAGGATGCTCATTAGCCTATCCGTAGTCCAGTGCGCTGTGAGTAACAATATTGTAAAGATATGTTCAATTATGATTATTTTTTGAATGATCGACTGTTCTGCTTACTGAACCGTTATTGTTTAATGAATGAATGTTTGTCTTACTTGTAAACTGTATCTGTGACATCCATAGCAATTTACTGTTACTGCTACTGTCATAGAGATCTCTGTCGGTTCCCATGTTTGGAACCACTACTATTTACTGTTATGATGGCCATCAACTGACTGTTCGGTCTGTTAAGACCTAGTGCACTGTTTGCTATGAGATGTACCACATATGACTGCTATGGTTTCTAAGTGACTGATATGACTGTTTAATTACTGAAAGGGCATTCATTCTTAACCCCTTTACATAATTGTTATTCACTGGGTTTTAACTCACTGTTTATATATATATGTAGGTGTCCAGGCACCGGACCGGAGCTAGGAGCGTCGGATTAGCTCTTGTTTTGTCAAGCCAACCACCGTGCCTCATCTCGAGGTTCCAAGTCCGTTCAAGCTACGGCTGTTTTGGGGTGCTCGGATTCACTCTTCTGTTTCTGTTTTGTAATAGATGTTATAGACTCCTACTATACAGTTATAGTTAGGGATTCGATCCCTGACATGGACGGTTGTGTATATGTTGCATATATATATGTTTTGGTTGTCAATGTGGCATGTTTATAAAAGGTTTTTTTGTATTCAGACTATTACAGCTCATTAGACATCTTTTATTTACTGTTTTGGCTTCGGTCAGCCCCTTTACTCTATATTACTAGCATTACTGTTAAGTAGGCCTTCGGTAATTACGGATTACTGGCCAGTTACGGTGCTAAACCTATAGGGGAGGGTTTGGGTCGTGACATTTAGGGACTTAACCCAAAAATATAAAATTTAGGGACTTCACTTTACATTTTTTTTTATAGGGTAAATTACACTGATCTCTCTTAAGGTTTGGAAAAATATAATTTGGTATACACTTTTGACATAATTATACTGACATTTATTTTAATTAGGTTAAACTAACTGAAACTAATATAAATGGTAAATAAACAAAGATTAATATACATTTTAGTAGAAAAGAAGTTAATAACATTGTAGACACCCCATTTTTGACCGACCTTAAGACTCAGACGTCACCGATTGAGCGCTTGGTGATGTTGCATATTGCACTCGTTCTGAGGTTTCAGAGTCTCGGCTGCGAGCCTTACCTCCAGACTTCCGGGCTCTTTCGTGTCTTGCCTCGGTTTGCGAACCAGGCTCCGTTTTCTCAGTTTTCTCTTCCCGAAGGGAGGGAGAGGTCTCGTAGATCATCTCTTAGTGGCCGCAGGCTACATTTCGTGGTCGTAGGCCATTTTTCCCATTTGGAGCCCGATGTTCGATTTTTCGGAGCCGACGGCCGTGTGCCTCGGTTCGGGACTGCTTAACCACCTCTGTTTGCCCGGTTTTTGGTATACACCCCACCACCATCCATTCAAACAACTTGGAGCTGTTTTTCAGAGCTTAGGAGCACCATTTCTCAGACCAAGAGCTGCTGGTCCATTGGTTTTCAAGGGTAAGCTTCTTTTCCCTCTTTTTTGTTCCTATCTTGCTCTATATCTAAGCCTTGCTTGCAAGCATTTTTGGGCTCCGACCCAAACTGTAAATAGTAATATTTTGAGCTCCTTTTCATGTTTGATTAGAACCTTTTTCTGTTTGAGGTCTCCTACTATCACTTGCCTCTTTAACTTTCTTTTAGGCCTATTTTTGCATGGTATTTTAGGCTTATTTTTGAGCTGTTTCGTGGCTTGATGTAAACTGTAAAATGTCTTGTTTTGAGCCCCTCTTCAACTTTGTTGAAGGGCTCTCTTCGGTTTGAGGCCAGCAGCTACCACTTGCCTCTTTAACTCTCTTTTAGGCCTTTTTTTTGCATGGTATTTTAGGCTTATTTGTGAGATGTTTCGTGGCTTGATGTAAACTGTAAAATGTCTTGTTTTGAGCCCTTCTTCAACTTTGTTGAAGGGCTCTCTTCGGTTTGAGGTCAGCAGCTATCACTTGCCTCTTTATCTCTCTTTTAGGCCTATTTTTGGGGGGAAATTTGAATTTCATTTCCCCCCCTTTTTCCTCCACTCCTTTGCCTATATAACCAGCACCCCCAACTGTATTTTCAGGGTTACAAAAATTGGTTCTAAGCCTCTTGCATTCAATCCCTCTTCCCTTCTATTCCAAACATCAAAACCCTTTTGTTCTTGGACCATTCCTACACTCTTTACTCTACAACCCATAGCACCCCTCCTCCTCACACTATTCCAGCAACTTGAAGGCCATTTCCAGAGCTTAAGAGTCCCCAAACTTGGTCCAAAGC